ATTTTCAGAGATTGTCCTGAAAGAAGTTTGTTTTCTGAGATGTTTCTTTCCCCAAATCTCAGAAATTGAGTTTTGATTATAATGACCAATTACTTTTTTTTTTTGCATAAAAGTCATGCTATATTGGTTTCTTGTTCTCCCCCCCCCCTTAATTAAGGACACAGTTTTCAAAGAATTACAAATCTGCTTTTGTGATGCCCCAAGAAAATCTGCATTGGTTTTAAACTCAGGCATAGCATGGAATTTATCAACAAAATGATGCTTGATTTTCCAACTTTACTCCCCATTGAAATTACCTAAAGAATATTAAAATATTGTCCCTTGTGGACCAGCAGAGATTCAGATGTACAGCCTGGGCAACAGGACTTGTAAACTCCCCAGGTGAATCTAACATGTAGCCCTTCCTCCTGAGACAGGCTATTCTGAAGAACTAGAACTCTCAGGAGTATGATGTTGACTTGATGTTTATCATTCTCATTAATTTGACAATCCTTGAGCAGAATGGATTGACTGGTTTTCTGTTTTACTCTTTACAGTGGAGAATCCAACAGAAGGAGGCTGCACAAATCATTCAAGGAGTCTTTACCACATCACCCATCTATTTCTGATCCTGTCCCACTGGCTTTCTTGAATTACAAACAAAAAAACTCTTTGTATCTACCATAGAATACTTATGATAGTGATCATCAACGAAACTCAATAATGAAAATCATAACATAGACTTTGTACTTTTCGTTCCAAAACTCAACTGTATTTCAAGGCTCACCTTACTACCAATCATAATAAATTTCTTCAGCAAGAAAGATAAAAATTACCAGTTGGGCTAAATGAATATCAGGATCAGATTATCTGGGATACATGGTTTAAAATATCCAATAGGTCAGTATAATTAATGCTCAACAACCTAAAAATGGAAAAGGAAAATGTTGAAAAAAGTATCTAACTTGATTTCTAGAATTTGATATTCTTTTTCCTAATTACCATGGTAGAATTTAATATTAATAGCCATGAGAAGTCATTGAAGTTCTTTTTGTATGGGAACAACACTGTTTCTTAATAATAAATCTGGATGAGGACCATGTAGAAAACTATGAGTTCATCTTTGGGCTGATGAATTTGAAATGTCTTTAAGACATCCAATTATAAATGGTGATGCTGTGAAGAAAGGTCAATTTTCAAGTCTTCACAGACAACAAGTAAGTTATGGGCAAGATGAAGGAGTATTATGAGAGAGTAGAGAATAAGATTGAGGAACTTCAACATAAATGATCAGATGCAAGATCTCAACTAAAAAGAAAAAAAATCAAGGGCTGGGGATGTGGCTCAAGCGATAGCGCGCTCGCCTGGCATTCTTGTGGCCCGGGTTCGATCCTCAGCACCACATACAAACAAAAATGTTGTGTCCACCAAAAACTAAAAAATAAATATTAAAAATTCTCTCTCTCTCTCTCTTTAAAAAAGAAAAAAATCAATAAATGTCTCAATATTTTTATTTTGTATAAAATAGCAGCAAAATTATTATGTTAAAGAGCATTTACACATACTGACATAATTCAAAGAGCTTCATATATGTCACTCCATATCTTCCACCTAGTTCTTGAAAAGAGGAGAGTTTTGTGTTTTCAGTAGAGGTGGCATCTTTACTAATATAATTGTGCCTGTTAAAGAATTAACATCATGGCTTACCACTAGGATCATCCAAAGTTCTTTGTTCCAGGGCTTGCAAGACTAAGTAACCTTTATGCTATATTTAAAACCAGGTGATAGGAAAGGCCATTTTTCACTAATTAAAGGTATTTAAAGAGTGAAAACACAATTAAGAACATGTAAAGTCTCTTGATCCATACTTACAGCTTTCCAGAAAGCTTTTTGTTTTTTTAAATCAACTTTTCTCCCCTTCATCAACACAATATATTATTTTTGTTTATTTGATCATTAAAATGCCATCCCATTATCTAAGGCAACACTATAAAATAATATTCTGGAATTATAGACGGGGTTGTTATGTAAATGAGGCTAAAACACTCCCAAATGCAGAATTGTGCTTAAACTGAGACCATATAGAAAATATAGTAAATGCCCGGCAATCTTGCTGAGTTAAGTTTAATCTAAACATAGTGATCATTTGTTTTCAGAATCTGAGCCAAAGAAAAAAATTTCTGATATTCTGATATTTGCTTCTTTAGCTGTGGTGATGCAGTCACAAGACTGCTCACCTGGTTAGTTCAGGTAGAATCCATTCACAAGTCTTTCTGCTAGCAGTGAGACAGCAAATCAATAATGGTGTTTCCAAATTTTGCTGGGAACTTCAAAATCATCTTATTAATAATTTTAAAATTACTTAGAAAATGGGCAAGTAATGCCTAGCATATTTTTTTTTGGTTATCCAATTGGGATAAATTCACATGTAATTTTATTGTTATGTACTCTATTTTCTGGTTACTGCAAAAATAAAGCACTCATGAAGTTCAATGTTCAAAGCCTTTTGGTTTCATGGTTTAATGTTAGTGTGAATTGATCAGAACTCATTAGAATTTATATCCTTTTGTTACTGAATCACATAATTACTTTTCTGAAAAGAAAATTGGAGTATCTTGTAAATATAATCACATGAACTGAGTGCATATGAGATATTATCAGCTGAAACATGGACCGTGTCTTAAAATTGGTTCCTCCTCTGTATATGAGTGACAAGCCTGGTGCTGTTTCCAGTTACCTACCACTTCAAAGGGAAGCGTGCTGTAGAAATTAAGGGACTCCCAACTTTTACACAATTAAGTTAGTTGGCTTTGTCTGCTGTGAATTTTTTCTACAATTGTCACACGTTGCTTCAAGTTTATCCCTTCAAGTTAGATGAAGGCTTCTAGTTTCTTTCTTTGGCTGTGGGTAAGGGCTTAGGCTCTGGAGGAAGCCAGCTTGGATGTGAATCAGTAATTGCCATCCTACAACTGTACCATGCCAAGAAAGTTATTTAACATTTCAGGTGCTTCAGTTTCTGGTTTCTTCCTCTGTACAAGGGTGATACCAACAGTACCAGATAAAGCAATGCTAAGTATTATGTCATTTTTCCTGATTATCTTTGCCAGGTTATTTTTGCTTGTGTACCCACACCATTAAACATGGGAATCTGGGCATATAACATTGTTTTCCTCTCCTACCCAAAAAATAGATTAGCCATACACATTTCTCCTCCCTGTCTCTCTCATCCCTTACTTCTTTAGTAGGAGAATGGAGAACAAATTTTAGAGACAGCCTGAGGCTGGTGACACATTGAAAAACCAGTGGAGTCAGACCTGGGCACTTGTTGGGGAAGGGTGCAGGGTACTGAAAGAAATAGGAATTCATTTATAGGAGCATGAAGCATCAACATTAGAGTTTACACGTTTTCAATTCATTTCCCCCCTTTTTTTAACACTCTGGATATTGGGAGCTGGAACTGGGGCTATATTTCCCACAATCCAAAGGACAAGAAGGATCCTGTGGGGATTGGTCTGCATCTCACACCACCCAGGAGCTGGGTCTTGG